ACTATACCTTATTTGACCGGAATAAATTCTGTGTGATGAGATGGGTGTAACACAGGACATTACTAATTTGCTGAGAAACTCCAAGTAGACGACCCTTTTTAATTCTTTCATTATTATTAGTAGTAGTAGTATTAAAAAGACGGTTGCAGTGAAGAAAATTTTCTTTTCGACGAAGTCACTGTCAAGTAGGCTGTACATTCGTGTATGTATAATAAATTGGTGGGAAAGTTCCAGAATCATTTTTGGTCAAGGGTCAAATGAATAATATCACATTTAGGAATAAAATGCCGTAATAAACAGGGGGACAGCTAAAACTCAACGCAGATTAGCATCATAATTACTGAGGGGATTGATATTGATTGTGCAATTGGGGGTTAGAAATGTAGAAATAACAAAAATAGACAGGATGTTTGGATAAGAAAATCTAGTGGGATCATAACTAATGTGACAAATAATTGTTGATGCAGTTAGGCATTAAATATGTAGAAATAATAAAATGACAAAATAGACAGGAAGTTCGGATATGAATATATGGTAGTGTAAATAAGGATTAAGAAAAACTTAAAAATAACATGATTAAACAGGAAGTTTAGATAAGAAGGGCAATGGGATGGTCATTACTAAAAGAATAACCTGTTTATGATGGCCATGGCCGGTGTCACTGGGGGAGATAACTGTTTTGGGTTGGGGGCAAAGGTCAAGTAGTGCGGGGAGAAAGACTGAATAAAAACTTTTTTCTAAACGGAGATTGCGTTGAAAAATATTTATGCCAACTACCTCAGCTATATTTAAAATGCACTGTGAAGGCAATCAGCGTATCCCTTACAGTCCTACAAAAGGTCAGTTGTGGGCATGAATGAATAAAGTACTGAATGAGGTGAATATGTTTCTCAGAGAGGGGGATCAGTTCCTTCATAGTATTTGGGAACGACTTTCAAATGAGTTCAGAAAGCATAGATGCCGGGCTTCTTCTGTTAATGACTTAGATTAGTTAAACCGCAGAAGAAGAACTTATGGTAGGAGAATTTTTAAAGGTAATTAACATAAAAACTGAATTGACATTTACTGTGAGTCAATGTCAGCTAATTTCCGTCCTCTTGAAGAGTTTCATTGAAACTATAGAATTAAGAACGCAAACTAATAAAGTAAATTGCATGAAATGAACTCAACCTATTCCATTCATAGGATGAATTATGTTCGGAGTAGAAATGGTTATCTACAGATGAGATTTAAGGGCAGTTAGAAAATATAGCCAAGGTGGTTTCTAGCCAAATTGACTGGCTACCTCACTGACATGTTCATCTCATAAATGAACAATTATCATGAGGTGATATGTGCACACTTGGGCAGATTCTCGAAATATGACAAAATAATTAGTTTGCATGGTTCTGATTGGGTTTTAATTTGATCACGGATTGATATCGGTTAGGGAACTATTAAAATCCAACCAGAAGGTACTGGACAGTTGCTTCAATTAAATCCTTGAATAATACCTCCATTTGGAAATTAATCTAATGCTCACTAGTGAATTACTACATAGGATGAATATGTCAGGAGGTGTCTGGTGAGATATCGTGACCGGCGGGATCTAACAGATAGGGTGTGAGGAAAAATATTCGCCGATGATATTGGCTGATGTTAGAGCTATAATATCGATAGTTGACAGAATCAAAAATTCAGGAGCCTCTGGGAAACCATCAACCTCAAGGTTCTGAGTTCAGTCCTCGGTAGAGTAATGTGTGTAGCGTCTCAAACGAACTAGACCGAAACAGCTATCGAGTAATTCCAATTCCCAAGGGTACTTATCTAATTGACACCAATCCGTGACTGGACTTGAATCACACAATTCAGAATGCTATTAGCTGTTATTGTTTTTTTTATAATATCCATGTTGCATTTAACTTTTAACCTTTAACCTTGACCTCGTAAAGTTTTTAGAAGCGGCTCTAAAGTTTTTTTTATTTTGATTACAACTTGATTCCACACCATATTTTGGGTACAAGTATGGAATTTTCAGCGTGGATATCGGTAGCCCAAATTTCGCAGGCCGACCATAGATATCAGGTGTGCGTCGGTGGCAGGGGCTCGAACCTCGGACCATGTGCGTGGTCGGCGAGAGTCCTATCCACTGTGCAGTTTCTTGGCTGTATCAAAAGTAGAGAGCGGTTTCAAACTAAAAATTAAACAATTTTCTAAATGTCATGTCTGTTTGACTGGTTTCAACATAAAACTTTTCACCGATGTGCAGCAGTTCGAGTCGCCACACCCCATTTAGCACACAAAGCAAGAGAAGAAAGTAGAAAGAAATGCGAAACACAGACAGTAAACAGAGATATGAGGCAAAAGGATTAGTGATATCGAAGAACAATATAGTTTCATTGGAAATCATAAGTCACAAGGAGTGGATGCATCTGCGCTAGCCATTGAGAACGAGGATTTTGAGCCATATCACCGGTAATTGTCTTCAGCCTTCATTGATGTTTACCGTCCCGAGGACCTCAACCAGTCAGATGGTCAGGAAGTCTACACCTTCCTACGTGGCTTAAACTAATTGTTGTGGGTTTCGCTGACTGATGAAGCCATGTTGTTTTTGGTTTGACTGCCACCGATGGCTAAACTGAATATAACTCACCCTATTATATCACCTAATATTGGAGATAGAATGCATACAACTTTGATGAAAGACAGCTAGGCCTTTCGTTTCTTCCACAGCCAGACATGAGGGAGGATGGAGTAGACTGCTGCTGTGTGTTAAACACATGTTTGATCGATAAGCAGATATCACGTCCACATCAGAAATGACGTAAATTGGAAAAAGTCGTGCGACTCTTTTGTATTTTTAATGAGATTTCATCAGTATTCAGTCCATTAGAGTCCAGGCAATTTCTCAAAGTGAAGTGATCAACACGCTCAGCCACCACTTAACTCCCTCCATATCTTTAAACTAGGAGTCGGTTTAGTCAAATCTTGTAGCATCATCTTACATTTTGACAGCAGAAAATCATACGCCAGCCATTTCTACTGAAGGTGTTAAAAACACTGTACCTTATTAGCGTCATCACCTAGGAGGACTATGTCATCTGTATATTCTAAGTCAACAAGTCTATTCCCTGGTAACAATTAAATCTTCACGTCGCTGAAGTCAGTCAGGGTCAGTTCCATTAGTACATTTATAATGAAATTAAACAGAATTGGGGACAATAAAGATCTCTCACGAAAACCACTGATTGTCATAAGTTTGGATAATTTAATAATTCCCATTGTAGCATTAAGAACACAATATTCAGCGAAGAGACTCTTTCCAACAACGAATTTATTATCAAGCTGTACAATAGTATATATATGGTTTTATAAAGAAATTATATCCGGTGAGGGAATTAGGTCAATTAAGTCCATGTGCATCTACTAGTTCACCTGCTCTTGTGGAGCTTGGCCGTAGTCAGAGAGCGCTTTCCACACGGATACGAGAACATATTCCAGCAGCATGGTTTTACAAGGGAGAAAGGAAATGTGTGCGAAGCTCTGTCTTAGAACACCTCATCGACTCCTGTCACTCGGTCAACCCTGACCATGATTTCAAGGTCATACATATAGAATTCCTGCTAACTTCCCGTGTTTTCTTCGTTACAGACTTCTAAAGACAGCTGAGGCCTTGGCAATTCATGACTTTAAGCCAAACAGATCTTTGTGTACAAAAGAGGAAGTATGTACAATCCCTACTGCTGCCTTGGCCGTAGAGGGATAGACATTTATTTATTTTATTTATTTAGTTATTCTATGTACTTTTCCCTTATTACTTCGATTATTTTTACTATCGTCATTATCATTATTATTATTATTATTACGACTCTCATTCTGAATCTTTTCCACTTGACCTACTTGACATTTTAAACCAAAAATTATTCATGTGTATACTTTTTATCTTTATTTTTACAATATTAAATTCTATGTTATCAAATTTCACACCATGTTACGTAACATTTTATATTCGTCTACTAATCTTATAATTATGTATACCTTTCCAAAATCTATACACCTTACGTATTATTCTATATATGGCATCATTTATTTTGCCACTTGACATTTACTCTTAAGTGTGTGTGGAGATCAACAGCACTCAGCATGAAAATGAAAAGAAGATCCGGATCTTCAACTCCAATGTGAAGTCTGCAACTCATCATACGAATCAGAGACTTGGCACGTCACAGAGAGCATCTCAAACAAACTTCAGACCTTCATTAACAGTTGTCTTCGCTCAATACTCAAGATCAGATGGCCGGCCAGGAACCGATTTTCCAACAAATAAGCAGGAAGAAATGGAGATGGATTGGCTGGCCATACTCTGAGGAAACCATCAAGTGACATCACTAGACAAGCCATTGCTCGAGTGGAACCCGAAAGGGAAGCGGCGATTTGGTCGTCAGTGTGAGGGTGGCTTGGAGAAGGTCATTTGAAGAGGAGATGAAAGCATGTGGGGAGACTTGGAGCGAGTGAAAACGCTGGCAGAGAACCGAACGCAATGGAGATGCGCAGCTGAAGCCCTATGTTCCTCTAGGAACTAAAGGATACAATAATAATAATCACAAATATTTTAATTGCATTTCATACTATTATTATTTCATGCATTCACACCTTTGACCTTAATTCCCTCACCGGATATAATTTATTTATAAAACCATATTGTACAGCTTGATAATAAAATCGTTGAAAAGAGTCTCTTCACTGAATATTGTGTTCTTAATAACTTTGGATGACAATCCTCCATAATCTCTTACCCGAATAGGCAGAGAGGGGCTAGACGTGAACCCGAAAGTCACCTGGAGAAGATTATATGCACAGGAAATGAAGTATTGTCGGCAATCATGAAGTTAGTCAGCTTAAATTGAGACCATAGAACCTAATGGAGTAGATAGAGAATAACCACTAAGGCGTTATGTTCAATTCAAAAAGTAAGAAATTCATATTAATAATAATGATAACATTGAACAATTTTGACTAACCTTCTTTCCTCATACCAACTTTAATACACTTTTGAAATCGACAATATTGACATTGATTACGATGGTGTATATCAATTGGACATTGTCTATTCCCTCGACAAGTATAATTTAATTTACGTCGAACAGATCGTTTAAAAAAACTCTTACAACCCTCACATGTATGCTGACCATAGTGTTTACCACTGCTTTTATCCCCACAAACAACACATTCCATACTTTGACCAGTTTTTGAACCAATATCAGCATCATAATCATCAAGATGTGAACTGTTTATCTCTTCGTCCTCTTCGTCGTCGTCGTCTTGATCGTTGTCGTCTTCTTCTCCTCCTCCTAGTGCGGCTACTGTTGTTATTGTTGAAATCTCTCCATCATCATCTCTGATATCCTTCTTATTATGGTCATGATGGTCACCGTTTTTACTATCCATCGTATTGGAGAGCTCTCCAACTCGCTTGCATTTTCTTCGTCTTCCGGTGTCAATCTCATGGAAATTAGTATTTATACCATTAAAATCTGAGGCAGGTTGTTTATTTTGACGGATCTTCTCGACACATTTATTGCCATTACTGTTATATAGAGAATATTTATCCCATTTGGTTGTAGTCGGTTTCGTGGATTTTAAGACGAACGTTTCACCATTATGCTTATTACCATTGTCAGTGTTAGAGGTACCGACAGAGGCAACCGTAGCTGTTGAAGTGATATCAGTCGATGAAATGCTTCTTTTTTCATCATAAAATGGAAAGTATCTTTTCCCTAAAATACTTAAATTTATTGGATATGGATGATGAAATGCTGAATGTCGTCTTGTACTTGTTTGATTATATAATTCTACAGGTGATGAAGGGATCATTTGAGACGGTAATGGTTTACACGTCGAGAAGGTGAAAGTCGATGATGATAATGATGATGGCGGTGATAGTGAGATCATTGAAGATGAATAATTATTCTGCTTCGCCTCGTCGAATCCCCATAAATGTGGAAATAATAAATCCGATGAGGGGGGTAGAGAAGGAGGTGGTGGGAATATTGATGGTGGGAAATTTAAACTCTGTAAATTATTCAATGTTGACATGTTAAAAAGAAATTTCCTCACAAATTATTTGTTTATATAGTTCATTTTTTATTTTTACACAATCATAGATTTTCCCCGCCAAATTTTTACTCTGGTTAATAGGTGTATATTTGACTTTCTGTGATGAATTTATGACCCAGATATCCCTTTCCCCAGGGATCATGATCTTTTACTGTGAAAGGGGTGATATATTAAAGTGGTTATGTAATTGTGGGAGTGAATTTACACACACACACACACACAACAACAATCAACACTCACAGAAACCGTCAGTGTAGAAGAATTTTTAAGTCATTTCATAGTATGTCCATAGGTCTACATGTATGTCTGCTAAGATAACCTATGTTTTTGTTTGTTTGTGTGTGTGTGTCTGGGGGGAGGTATTACGTATGTTGCTTTACATAATCATTCCTCAAATCATTCCAATATTCCTCTTTTCTTAGTGTTACCCCTTGATTTTAAATCATTGTGTTTTAAAGATGACTAATGATCATTACTGTGTTATCACCAATCATTGACAGTATTACTGGTGTGTTGTAATTCTATTTTTTTTTCATACCCATATGTGAAGGAAGGAAGGGATGAGATGAAATGTCATCAACCTTAGAAATAACAAAGAAACTCCTCCTGTCTGACATTGATGTCACTCTATCCCTCACAATCCGTCTATGCTTAGCCGATATATTGTAACCACCACCACCACCATCAATGAAGACATGACACAAGGTCTTAACCGGTTAAGGCAATTGGACGCTAAAGTGTCAGGAGAAGAGAAGGGGAAATGTGCATACCAATAAAGAGGCTAGAAATTGAGAGAGTGGGAGAGGAGGACAGAAGTTTTCTCCACTCCTCCTTTTAGTATTTCTAACCAACCAGGTGTATGTAGGGTTAAAGACATATGTACAGAAAAAGGGAGAGAGAGAGAGACATTTTTTACTATCATTGCCGTTGAAGAAGCATGATTTTTGGTTTGGTTTTTTCTCTCAACAGGTCAACACAGCTAAAGAAAGGATAGACAAATAATATTTAAATGTTGTATCAAATGTTGTTTTTAGTCACAATTTCGATCTACCCGTCGAGTGATTGGACTGAAATGCTCCTTGGACAGATGCTTCGACGATGTCTATTCCCATGTGACTTGAAGTTAGTTGGTGGATGGTGACTAGCAGTGGAATCAAAGACAAGGTGCATTTCGTCCTACTTGGGATTCGTCAGCTGACTGGATGTACCTGCATTCCCCAGTCAGTTAGTGATAGTGTTCCCACTGAGGCGGCTAAAGTCGTCGAGTGGATAACGCTTTGGCGTTTCAAAGTATGGGAACTGGGGAATGCAGGTACATCCAGCCAGCTGAAGAGTCCCAAATATGACGAAATGCGCGTTGTCCTGGATTCCACTGCTAGTCACCATCATCCACCAATTAACTTCTAATTATCAAATGTTGCTTTGCGGAAATCTGATTATGGATTGATATCACAGTTAAGAAACCATTGAAAAACCAGCACTACAGTGCTGGATAATTATTTCGTCCTTGTTTAGGGCTCATTATCAGTTCGTACCCAACAGTGAGGTCCCAACCGAGGAAATTCCGGTTTCAAGGTAAGCTCGTAGACAATTCAGCCACTTGGAACTGATCTAATGACTCATGGATTCTAACTTCTGCCATTTAGCGATATATATATGTATATATATATATATATATATATGCATATAAGGGATTTAAATTGTCTTGGGTTTGAACACTGGTGGGTACGTACTCGTGAAGAGTCCCAAACTAGGATAAAATACCTTTTCATTATTCCCTGGTTTTTCAATGATCTCTGCCTGTGGTATTGGTTCGTGACAAAATCCACACTGAAATGTTTATCTAGTTGATATCGGCTATCCGTCGAATTTACGAGGAGTCCTTCGTCTTATTTCGAACTCGTTGAGGTGGATGTGCCTGTTTCCCTAGTGATCGATGGTAATCCCTCTGAAAATCAAACCCAGTATTCATCGTTTTAGATAGAGGTTGAACATTTCTGTCCAGCTGTACAAGTGTTGGCACTCATGGGTCAGTGTATGAGGACTCTCGAGGATCATGCACATGGTCCGGAGTTCGATCCTCCGCCCGACGCACACTTGATATCTTTGGTCGGCCTGCAAAATTTGGGCTACCGATATCACATGCTGAAAATTTCATACCTGTAACAGAAAATACGGTGTGCAATCAAGCTGTAATCAAAAATAATAACGCTTCAGAGTTTGAAGGGATAGTCTGTGAGTTCGAGTTCAATTGAGGACGCCATAAGTGACTGAAAGTTGAGTTGCATCCACATAACGACTCCCAGCAAACAAGTAATACCATTATGAACAATGAATTGTAGGAATGAAGAAAACATTCGTTCAGTAGTCAGTACTTACAGTTATACAATATGTAGTCTTAAAGTAAAAAAAAAAAATTAAGAATGTAGCGGCCTGCTGAAATCATTTAGCAACTAAACTTTTCTTTCATCTTTCGAAATGAATTACATTTCGCTGCATTTCATATTGTTTAGTTAAAACCAATACTTGTAAATGGCTTTTTATCAGAAATCAGCCAGTCGTCCAGGGAAAACGGTCTTACCTTAAATCCATCTAAATGACAAAAAGTCAATCAATTTCACATCTAGGCATAAATCTGACCTAAGCAAACTGGTTAGAACTCATACGAGGTGTGCAACATCGATGGCACTGAAATAGAAACCAAGTCGGAAATTAAATACCCAGGCGTCACTCCATCTCCTGATCTTTCCTGGTCATCTCATATCTTGATGATTTTCAAGAAAATATTCCGTCTCACCTTGTACATCAAGAAGTTAAGACATTCTGGAATTACTCTTGCATCCTGCCTATTATTCTCTATTGTTCCCCCCTAGTTTTTCCAGGGCTACTGAAGAAAGACTATACCTTATTACGTAAGGTAATAAAGGTTGTCAGCAGGGTAAGCCACAGGGTGCCACTTAACCAGCTTGTTAATATTCTGGTCGACAGGCACATGGACTCATGTGAAAAATGGGCTAATTCCATTTTATCTAACTCACACCACCCTCTTCATTGAAAACTCTCCCCTTGTATCTATCTCATCAGGCAGGAACAGAAGCCTATATAGAATACTATATGCTCTCACTAACAAGTATAAAAACTCAACCATACCCTACTTGACTTGTTCGTGTTCTGTGCGATAAAGAAAGCATTAGGCATGATACCTACAACTTATTAAGTAGTCAGTAGAACAACTGGATCTCGTCTTTCCAACTCATATCATTTATAGGTACAACGTTTTCTTTCTTTCTTTTCCTTTTCTCTCTCTCCTGTTTTGTTTCTCTCTTCCTTACAAACTCTACTTAAAACATTCTTCTTCGTTGATTCACATTCTGTATATCTGGACCTTTTTGTTACCGCTTACGCCAGCAAATATGCTAGTGTATCTACTTTCCTAACACCTTCAAACACTCTGTTCAATTTTGGCTTTGTTACCGACATGCTAATATGTTGTTGTCAAAACTAACTGCGACTACCCTTACTCTATGTAGAATTTTATTTATTGTTAATTTACAAACTGGATGCAATACTGTAGTGAAATGCTGAGAATTTCATTCTGCATCACAAATACTGTTTTGGAATAAAGCAAATTATTATTATTATTAAAATATCAGGAAAATTCTGAATGATAATAATAAAATTTCATGAATTTATGGTCTGCACTGAAGGCCAGCCAGGGCCGTAGTAGTGGCTAGCTGAACTTTTTTCTTTTGCACACAGAGCACTGATTGTTTCACACGAATTGCGATAGTCTCCACTGTTTGGAGCATGCGGTGCTTCGATATTTTTGGCAATTTATTTGGTACGTGACAGATGCTGATAGAGAAGGATTCGTCAATGTTAACTAGCTTTGTGGCCGGTTTGGACCAGGTGGTCTGTTATCGAATTGTCGATGGATTTTACTACACCTTTACTAAGTCATACTGGGTGGTATTCTTGAGATAGCACGAAAAATCAAGTTCCTAGAGCAACGGCCAATATAACTCGCCCTAGCACAAGCGCAGTTGCATTAGGAGATACAATTTGACGTGATTAGTCTAGGTACTTCATCTTTCAGTTCAGGAATCACCATAGGTCGTGTAAACAATAAGACGTGTAGTTTGTCAGCATTAAAATTTCTTTCAACTGGTTTTCTTAAATTCTTAGTAATTATTTCGCTTGGTATATCGCCCTTGAATTGCAGCCGTATGTATGCATGTATGTATGTATGTGTGTATGTGTGTGTGTGTGTGTCTGTGTAGGTTCAAACCGGCCACAAAGCTAGTTAACATTGACGAATCCTTCTCTATCAGCATCTGTCACGTACCAAATAAATTACCAAAAATATCGAAGCACCGCATGTTCCAAACAGTAGAGACTATCGCAATTCGTGTGAAACAACCAGTGCTCTGTGTGCAAAAGAAACAAGTTCAGGTAGCCACTACTACGGCCCTGGCCGGTCTTCAGTGAAGACTATAAATTCATGAATCTGTATTATTATCTTTCCTAATTTTTCTGATATTCAATGTGTATTGTTATGTTGTTGCTATTGAACTGTAATCTATTGATATGATTATTATTGATTCGATGTTATTTAAACAGCAACATTAATGTTGTTCATAACACTAATTCATTCATTCATTCACTATTATGGATGGATATATAACTGTAGAACCCGATGAAGAACAGGTTATCGAAAAGAGTATTCTTTGTCTAGTAACCATTCTATTTTTATTACTATGTGAGAAGTTTGACCGCGAATAGATATCAATTAGCAAATCATTGAAAACAACCCAGAGAGTCACGGACGGTTGTTTCGTCCTAGTTAGGAACTCATCATCAGTGCCTAACACCCGCTGGGTTTCGAGCTCAAAACGTTCCTGTCACAAGGCACAATCGAAGACTATTCAAACACTGGGTCCTAATCAAATGGCGAGCCCATGAATTTCAACTTCTACCAGTTCGTAATTTTAAGCGCCACTGACCAGAGCCAGTGCTGTCGGTGGCAAGTATTTCTCATCACTCCCGACTGAGTCAACCATACTGTGTTGATGATGACTTCTCACTAGAACTCCAACCAACTTCGTCCTGCTGCCAGTCACTAGCAAACATCAAATTAATTTTC